TTTTTCAAGATGCTACAACCTGCTAGTTCAGGCTCCTTCCTATGAGGGGGCAGATGAAAGTCTCCAACTTCCTGAGTGAATACCTTAGTTTAGTCAGTAGTCTGTTATTCAGGAAGTGGGCACCCACCTCTCCTTATATATTCTTAGGCCCCTGCTACACATTACATATATTAAGCAATTAACTGGTTTATCATGCAATAAATTTTGAGTAGCCACACATGCAAAGTAATTATCACAATAAAAATGACTATTCAGTTATGAAAAGAGACAATCAGCTACAAAGTTAGTGTTTGAAAATGAGTAACAACTCTATAGCTGGTTTCTATCCTGCTTGAATTTGGACAAGTAGCAGGGCCCTGAGTGAAAGTGACTGTTGATGCTCGATTTTGCACTGAACTCAATGCTGCTGGCAGGGCTTAGGCGTGCTCTGAGCTACCTAAAGGATAAAGTCCCTCTGAGGACTTGGAAATCATAGAAATAGAAATTAAGGGTTGAAAGGGACCTCGACTTGGTGAATCTTAGACACTTACCCAGCACGGATCTGGCTCACAGGAGTTAGGTGCCCAGGGGCTCAAACTTGACTGCTTCTAGGCATGCTCAGACTTCCAAGTATAGCCATTTAGGACGGGGTGGGCAAAATGGGCAATCTGGCTGGGAGCCGGACTCCATTTCCCAGTAGCCCCTGCCTGCATGGCTTGAGCTGGTTCCATGGAGATGCCAAACACAGCTGCATGGAAAGCTCAGGCTGGGGTTGCCAAGGAGACCAGCGGTAGCCACACTGGTAGAGCAGGGAAGGGGCTGCTCCAGAGCCGCTGGGAACTTGTGATGGGGCAGCCTGCTCCAGAGACGGGGCAGAGCTGCCATCTGTAGCCTGCATGCTCTGGGCAAGGGTGCGCAAGCAGGGGATTGTGGCTCTGCCCCAGCTCCTTGCAGCAATGACAGCCTGGTCTGGAGCAGAGGCAGAGCCATGATCCCCTGCTTGTGTGCCCCTACCCATAGCATGAAGGCTACAGATCACGGTTCTGCCCTGGCTCCTGAGCAAGCTGTCCCCATTGCAAGTTCCCAGCAGCTCTGGAGCAGCCCCCTGCTGCCCTGTTCTGCTGCGTGCGCTGCCAGCACGGCTGCAACTGGTCTCCATGGCAACCTCACCCTGAGCTTTTGGAGGTGCTGCTGGGGGTCTCCGTGGAGACCAGCCCAAGCCATGCAGGCAGGGGCAGCTGGGAAATGGAGTCCACAGCCGATTGCATCTGGCCCATGGGCCAGACATTGCTCATCCCTGATTTAGGAACTTTATCCAAAACAGAGGCACAGATACATTTTGCAGCTGCTGGAGAAGGGCTAAAATTCATCTGGATTACTCTTTGGAACCCCTAGTAGAGTATCTCTGGAACCAACAATTTTCTTTTTTTTTTTATTGGAGGGGAGAGTGGTGAGTCTCTGCACAATATAGTATGTGACAATAAGTATTTTGTCTTGCTACAACATTCAGACATGTAAGTATTGACAAAAGGCATGAGGAGTACTTGACCCCCAGATGATACTGTTAGGACCCTTCCCCAAAGGTGTAGTCACTTTAAAACTGCAGCGATATAAAATTGCAACCTCAGAACAGAACTCACTTCTAAGTTTGATTTCATCGTTTCTTCCATTGCAAGTCAAAGCCAGAATATTTAAGGTTGAAATAAAAGTAGGACGTGGCATACAGCATAGCAGTAAAGTACATTCCAGATCAACTGAAATGCTAGTTTTATTCCAAAAAAAATTCCTCCTGGAACTTTGACTTTAACATTGTTTGCAATATACTGTAGCTATTGGTATACAGCTCATGATAAAAAACCCCCAACATTTAATTAGTTTGAGATGTGGCAAGAGCACAGAACGGAGACTCTATTAATACGACACATACAAGAAAAAGGGCCAGAATAAGATCTTAAAAGTCAATAGGCTTCATGTGTGTGGAGAATGAGGACATAATTTCCTCCTTGCAGATGTACCTCTGACTTACCTTCTGTATTCATTTTTTGTTTTGTATTTTAATTATAGGTTAAGAAAATAGGTTATAGGTTAACAAGCATTTTGTGGAAAGAGGAAAAAAGACACCTTAAAAAATGGATCCACCACTAAAACTGTAGAAAGACAGATAGCAACTTGTTTTAATAAGTATTTATTGCCACCTAGTGGAAATCTAGTACACTGCTACAGCACCTGTTACCTCCGCTTCCCGACCTGTAACGTTTTCGGAATCAAATTGAATACGGAAGCGTTTGCATTCAGACACGCAGCAGAGCTTTCTTGTTCCAGAAGTGAATTGGGAAAACGCGTGTTTTCACTTCTGTCACAAGCAGAGCCCCCCACCCCCGCGCGAAGCCTTGTGTGATGTATTTGTGCAGAATGTCACCGATTTCAGATGCCGCACGATCTCGTTCCTACGTCACGGGCATGATCCCTCCCGCCCTATCAGCAGGGATCCGGGTTTCCCCGTTTCCCACCGGGGAAACAGAGAAAAACGCGAGTGTCCCCTTTTACCCGAGAAAAACGCAGATTTCTCATTTTAAACGGAGAAACACGTGGATTTTGCACTGTGGCTATGTGCAGGCTGGCACAGCCCCAGCCTGCAGGATTTTGGGGGGAGCAGGAGGAGGGCAGTCAGGGGTGCCATGTGCATGTATACGCACGTGGCCACCAGGCAGCCTGGAGAGCAGCTCCCGCAGATAAGTCTGGGAGGTGTGGGGGGGACCCCTATAGGGAGGGGGAGTTGGGCAGGGCTGGGGCTGCTGCCCAGCCGGGTGGTGCGCGGGGGCTGTGCCGGGATGCGTGACCACAGGGCCCACAGCGGGGCGTTGCCTCGGCAACCGAAGCT